CTGGCATTTCACATTCTTAAATGAAAAATCAGTTGTCTGTCTAAGTAATATGAATTAAAAAGGCTATTTTTCTCAATGACCCATGCATAATCATGCAACGACATTTTGGTACAGGTGTAGCAATTCAGATACAGTGTGTGTGCGCTTACCTGATTCATGTTACTTATCATGAACGACACTGATCTGCCAAAACTAAAATGATAAACTGGACAATTGCTTGTTTGCAGCAAGAATCTGTTGGTTCTGCTCTTGGCCGACATCTCTAGTTTTTGTCGTTATTTGACGCTGAAACAAAGGAAAAGGTTGGAAGTGCAGACTAGGCTCTGTTAATACAGAACATAAATTAAATGTAAATGTTATTAAATACATAATGTATAAATAACTATGCCGTTTAAATGGAATATACAGCAGTTACATCTCTAAGGGTTATTTAATTAGATTTTCTTTTGTGCTAACAGTCGAGGCTCTATTGAAGGAGACGTTACACAAGCGACAGGTCTGTCACAGCTGAAAATATCTGGCGATACTGATGTTGTTTATCTTCTACCTTCTGACAGCCAGCACTGGCAAATTAGGTGTGCTTAACATCCTGATTTCCAGGGAAGCACCTGATTAGCTGGAGAGCAGGTCTGGGTGAAGGAGCTATAAGAGCACTTTTCGAGTGGCTCTGATTTTTTTGGAGTGTCCTCTCGGCTGTGCGGAGGCGCTGCGGTCCTTGGCCCTGGCCTCAGCTGCGGCGCTGCGCCGCTCTCTCAATTAGTCAGACTAATTAACTCCCCGACTCTCCTGGTATAGGATCATCAGTGCCTTACCACTCTGTGCTCCATGTTTTTCCCTGCTAGAAAGATAAGGTCATTGCCAGTGCTCAGTTTTTGAGGAATCCTATTAAACTACTTTATTATTTAGTGCTGATTTACAAATTAAAATGCATGCACATATACAGGATAAGGGCTACAAACGTATTGATGCATATTGTATTAGTGATGCACCTTGCATGTTCTAAAAATGAATTAATAATGTGACATGGTTAAAGCTTGACCTCTGTTGTTTGCAAATGTTTAATCTTTTTAAGCTTTTTTCAAAATTGGAGCAGAATGCATACAACCTTTTCCTAAAGCCCATGGGTCAAACACAAGCCCCGTGGGCCAAGTGAGGCCTGTGGCATAATCCTTTTTGGCCCACGAAATTATTTTAATTTTCTATTATTAGTAGCCTGTTTCACCCTGAGATGCACTACAGTTCCCAGCATGCACTGCAACATGATGTGCGTTCCGACACCCTTCCCCAACAATAGTCTACGGGTCAGCGCTTACACAGAAAGAAAAGATGCGTGGTGTGTCATTCAAGCAAACAGACAGTTTTAAAAAAAACTACCTAAAACAATCTGTTTTTATTTAGAATTGTTTTTGAGTACATTTTCAGTGTCTCGGTCATGGCAACATGTATATTAAAATTGAAATACAAACACAGCTGGCCTATGGATTTGCTGAGATTTTTTAATATGGCCCTTTTAGTGGTTGAGTTTGACACCCCTGTCCTAAAGTTTGCGTCACAGTATGATACCCAGCAGTCTCAGATTTTGAAGACTGTAGTAGGGGATGTTCACAGACACTGCTGCTACTTGGATTTGTGCTTGTTTTTGTTAAACAGACTGCAGATGTTAATATTATGTGTATCAGTCAATTACCAGTCTAGATTTTTGGAAAGATCATGTTTATTGGCCGTCTGATGCCACGAAGACAAACTGCTATTTTGCCGTGTTCATTGGTACTGAAGTAATTTGTTTGGTACAGATAAGTGTAACGTTTTTCTGTAATTATGAAACCAAGTAGGTGTAGTGCCAATTTGTGTATTTTATAAGTGTATGTGTATCAGTAGGCATTAATAGATAGTCATGCAAAATAATTTTTTTTTAAATGAAAAAAGGTTAACACATCCTCTACAGAGAACACACTTCTGCACAATTTAATGCTCAATTACTGTTTATTTTTTAATTTAATATATAAGGGAAAAAACAAAATATAAAGTGTGGCCTATGCAAACATTATTGGACATTTTATGTTTTCTTGTTTTCCAATAAGCTAAACTCAGAACTGGGAATGTTAAAACTTTTGCATACTACTGTATGTACTTATAATAAACATTGGATGTTGCCGTTGGCCCACAGTTGCCATTTGGTGTGTCCCTAGTCAGAGGCAAAGGCCAATACTGCAACAACGTGTTGTACAGCCTTTATGTGTGTATACTAGAAAAAAAGAGGCTTGATATGAATCCTTTGGATTGATATTATTATCATTGTTGTCATTATTTTAGTACATTTCCTAATAAACAGCTCCTATATAATAGAATCCTGCCCTCATAACCCTATATTTCTGAAGACCTGTATGTTTCCGATGGTAGTTCTACCGTGTGTAGTGTGTCACAGTTCAGCTGATTTGAATATTTTCCTGTTTAAAAGATCTTGCTTTCATTTTTTTAGCTGTATCTACCTTTATGACTTTGTTAGAATGCAATTGTTTGCATTTCAGTGAGCAAATCACTCAGGCTCGGTATTATTATCATATTAGTTAAGCGTGAGGAACGTGAGGAAAGGTCCATAGATCTAGCCAGTTAGTTCTAATGTAACACACGCAGTGAACAGTTGCCTTTTTATCTGCAGGTATTTTTTTCTTACTTTTATCTATTTTTGGCACAGTTATTTGTGTATTTTTTGGCAGATAGTGATTTTCTAACAGTGCACGAACTTTGCAGTTACAGATACGGAATAAGGACAAATAAAAAATGCTACTGTGTATCTGCAGAGACGGGCTTGTTTATAGACCTTTGGGCTTACAGATGTTTCGCAATCTTACAACTGCCATTCAGTCTTTGAGTATCTCTCTCCCTTTCACTCTCTCACCCTCTCTTCCCCCCGGCAACCTTTGGAATGGCTGGCTCTGTAGCTTGTCTTTCTCTGCCGCTCGCGCGTTTCCTCTGCTCTATAAAAACAGCTTGAGATCAGCCTCACTGAAGTGGCCGATCACTTTCACTGAAACATCCTTGAAAAGGCCTGAATGGCCCTCACCTGAGCTGAGCTGCTGAAGAGCAGCACAGCCCTCAGTGTAGCGAGGGGGAGTCTCCTGTGTGCAACAAGGGCCTTTTGCTGCTGGTTGAGAAATTGCACCTTTTATACCACTGTTAAAAGCGTGTACGTTGGTAATGTTGAAGCATGTGTTGAACTCAGTCGGAGGCCTTTTGTTGATCAGAGTAGTAGCTTGGACTGAAGTTCCCAGGCCTTCACTGCAAATCTGAGAAGTACTAGTGATGGACATATTTATGGGCATTTTGAATATACTGATAATCAAACTGTGCAAAAGTTCCAAGATATTTAGAATTTAACTAAAAACAACATATTCTTGTTACATTTCACTGTATGTTTGTGTTTATTCTAAGGTTATATAGTGTTTTATGCTGGAAAAAACACACTATAAATAGATAAATGGTTCTCAACTATTTTCTGGAGAATACAGTACTGGATTTGTTTGCTAAACATCTGTAGTTTGGAATAAAAAAACTTAATTATTTTTGAATACGGTTCATCTATTTTGAATTAAGGTCATAAAATATATATATAGAACTATTTAACGTGTTTGGTTCTAAGATGATACTTAAAGACTTGAAAAGCGTCATCCTATCGATTCATCTAATCCAGAATAGTCCCTCAAACATAGATGTCCAGTGGACATTTGTCCTTTCATCAGAAACTGACCACTGATGAAAGACTAGAGGACTAACACCTTAAAAACATCATGCAGTAGCAAAGCATATAGCCACATTTGTCTGTGTGAATGAAATAAACTTAGTTCCAGGAGTTTCTCAAAATTACTGCATAATTCAGTGGTTGAAATGTAAACAAAGGCATTCAGAGTGATTTAATGTGAAATGGTTCTCTGTACAGAAACTTATGGACATTTTTTTTTATACAGGTGGTAATAGGAACCGAGGTTGCAGTGTCTGTTATTTTTACTATCCAAAATGTGTCCTTTGAGTTTTAATATTTAATGTTGATGTTGATTATGTGTAATGTTAATGTTTTGGCCTTCATATTTGCAGCCCTTTCATGTAGTAACTTTCTGTGAGGGAGCTTTTAGGGGTAAACCCTTCAGATGGTTCCTATCACCACCACTGTGAACAATTCTGAATCAGGAAGCATCTCCATACGGAACATTTCATATCAGACCTCTCTGGGCTCAGTTTCTCTAAAGCATCTTAGTGTTAAGACAAACCTTAGCTGTTAGAGTGAGCATCACAGTAAACACTACCATACAAGAATCATCCTTGTGCTAAGGGTGCTTTTAGGGAACTCAGCCCTGAATGATTTTTTTTACATCTGAATGACTACATTATTGAGGAAAAATAGGAAACAGAGGTGGAAATCCCCTTTAATATGGTGTAAATATTATTATTTTTCATTTGTTGAGATTTTTGAAAAGGTATTAAAAAGCATGATGTTTGTTTCTAAAAATTGAGCCGTAACATTTTTGTAAAGTGGAGAAGCTGCTAATATTACGTTTCACGTTAAATGTAAAGTGTAAGCTATATTGGCGGTATAGGTGGCCACGTGCTAAATCACCTAAAACAAAAATAAATCACTAAATCAATAGAACAGGTATAGATCACCTCTTTTGGTGGCTGCATACAGTAAACAAATGGTAAATCCTTCACATTTTGTTTTTACTCATGACAATCTAAAGTATTCTCCTTCCGGGATATTTGAATATTTATACGGATTAAACTGATGCATGTAGACTCAGTTTGTGTCATTGTTCCTAAAAGCTTCATGATCAGCTGTGTTTTATATACTGATAGGTTTGGCAGAGACAGTCAGGAGGATCAGAATAGCTCTGTGTGTAAGAATTTTGTACAAGCCTGAGTGCACAGTTACAAGACCAACAAGCTTGAACTTTGACCTGCTAACTTTCTGTGTCTGTGTTTGTCTGTCTATGTTTTTTTTCCTGCAGATATGCCCATTTTTGGCCAGTGTCCTGCACAGGACGACTTTTACCTGGTCATGTGCAGCCACTGCAGTCAGGTAGTCAAACCCCAGGCCTTCCAAGCACACTATGGTAAGATTTATTGTTTTTTTTTCTCTCTCACACTCTCTCTCTCTCTCTCTCTCTCTCTATGCCTTTCTCTCCAGCGAGATGTTGTAGCAAAATCTTATCTCCCTGAAGGGAATTAAGACAGAAATCCCTCCTACTCCCACCCCTGCTCAGTCTCTATTTGAGCACACAGAGAGAGAGAGAGCACTGTCCTTTGATTTCCGCCGCCAGCCACTTTGTGTTTACAATCCTCCGGTTAATATTTGATGTGCTCCTTGTCTGCTTTGCCGTCCTCTCACCGCTTTATCTAAATCCGGCACTTTTTAAAGTGGAAAACTGCCTGCAAGACTGTGAAGAATCTTCAAGGATGAAAAGCCAAAAATATATAAATAAATAAGAAAAAGAAAGAAGTGCTCACGCGAGTTTACTCCAGGAATACTTGACCTGCATGCTCGATGAAAATTGCTGATTATGGATCAGAGAATGAAGAGGTTTCTTACGTAGAGTGGCGTCGCTGCCCTCCGTCAAACTCATGAGCAGTTAAAATGGCTGCATATTTGATGCTAGATTTGTCCAGCTGCTCTAGGCTGTGTCTAAGGGTGTGTTCCCGCTTACCCTGATTGGTACAGACCTATCAAAATTTTTCTTTACTTCGATTCATTTTTGACAAGTATGAACACTCCAGCCTCTGCAAACAACTGATCTGGATATTTTTACAGTGGTACACACCAAACAAGAAGCTTTAATTCAAGAAGCACATCAACACTGTTTTGCATTTACATTTAACTCTTTGCAGATGCTCAAATTGCTCTCAAATAGCTGCTGCTGCTAATTGCAAATGAGCAATAGTGAAAGCATTTGATTTTGGCACATGGACCCCAGAATTTATTTTTAGTAGGTTGAGTCAGGTGATCTGTTTGGTTCAATTCAAACTGATGCATGTTTAAACTCACCAGACATAAAGAGTGGAGATCAAGTAAAGTTCATTACTCTGAATATTTAAGAATCTCTTTTCATGTAACACAGTGAGTAAGATTATGAGAGAGAGATAAGTTTGAACTGTGATGGGTTAGTGAAGGTTAAAATCAAATTTATGGCACTAATGGAGGCAAACAAAATAACAGAGTGCTTCTGTTCCCACCCAACGTCTAGCCAGTCAGTGAACACCCATGTCTATAATTTGGTGCACTTTATCCATCTCAATGTTAAATCAACTGAACCAATTAAAAAAAGATACAGTCTCATAAAAATAAATAAATAAATAAAACTGCAGACTTTTAGCAAACAACCTGGTAGTGAAAGTGTCCTAAGAGTAAAGGGTAATATGGCAAAAATATAACCTCACAGTTCTTTCACATTTAAGACACAAATAAAATAAGAATAAAAGGCCTGGATACCATGAGTAAAGTGCACAAAATAAAATGGCCATTATCTGTTAAATATATCAATAAATATATCACAAAAACTGGAAAGTGATACCATATGGTACTGCAAAATCATAGATACTGTAGATGATATGTCGCCCAGCACTATGCTAAATGTTTGGCATTGGAATTTCATTTTATGACGTGGAAATGTTTAAAAAAATGTGTGAGCCTTCTAATGTCCTTGGAAAACTGTGTCATGGCTAGGCCTGTCACAACCAAAAAGTTTCAGCTGACATTTAATTACTATATAATAATATATAAATATAATGTAAATATAATACATAAATAATTGTATTTAATAATTTAGTAGTTCTTTTTTGTTTGTGTGCAGCAGTAATACAATAAAAGCCTAAAACTTGTAGCTTCCTTGTTGTGAATACTTAGCAGCTCCAAACTGTTTGAGTCTAAACAAACATTACTCGCCACCATAATAGATAAATAAACATAACTTACATAAACATAACTAAAGCTGTTGACAAACATCAAATAGACAAACAGACTCCTCTAAAAGTGTTAACAAACATTAAATAAACAAAACATTCTCACTGCTGCCCTGAAAGTGTTTATTAATAAACACTAAATAAACAACCGTTACACTTCGCTGCCCTCAAAGTGTTAACAAATATCAAATCAACAAATATTGTTCACTGCTGCCATCGTTATTTGTGTGTATTGGCTTTAACTGAGAAACAGTCACAATTCACACTGTTTTTGAGACATGAATAGATTATGAAAGCTTACAATTATTGTGATCAGGCAACTGTGTAATAATTGTGAAAGACCTTGTCGCTGCTTTACTAAGAATCTACAGCAGCTAGTTTCTAGTAATCTGATTGTGCTGTTCAATTTGGTGAGTTACTGACATCAAAATCAAATCATTCTCAAAGAGCTGCTGCTATTAATGGCAAATGAGCAATAGTGAAGCATTTGATTTGCATGTAGACCACAGAACTTATTTTTGGTGGATTGGGCCAGGCAATCTGTTTCAGTCTGATTCAGTTCAAACTGTTGCATGGTATGCACTTACCGGACAATGAGGGTAGAGATCACGTAAAGTATTAATATCCCCAATTTACGTTGATCGGGGATATTTATACCAATTATGGTCATTTTTATTGTTGACACGTTGTTTAATTTAATAAAACCACTCATATGATACCATTGATTTGTACCATAAAATAAGAAAGTACAAAATCATGACTGGCAAAAGGAGAGGAACTGAAGAAAGCTTGATAGCCTATTAAGCAAATAATGGTCAACAAGTTGATCATTTATAGAATTGATTATTAGTTGCAACTACTTTAGAGCAGGATAATTCCAGCACTACATAGTTTTTTGTTTCCCCCTTTGTTTATTTAATGGCCTCTCTGTGACAGCAGCTGCCAGCTTCTGGGCTGCAATCTGTCTTACTCCACCAGAATCGCCCACAAGGGGGAGACACAATGTCATTTAGGTCGCATGGCGGCACCCTTTTGTTGCTTTTTTTGTCAAGGTTGATAAAGTAAATAACACAATGAATAACTCTCAACAAGACCGCTGCATCATTTGGAGCACGAACGTCTTATTGGTACACAAGTGGTGACTTCTCCAGCGCCAGTTTTTCTGCCTGATTGTTTTGCTATGCGTCAAAAGCTAAACATGTTTTGTGCTTGGTTCTTAATTTAATGATTAAAACAATGTTACCAAGTCTGTAACCTCTCTTGCCAAGCTGCAAAGCTGATTATTTGTGTAAACTTCAGATGAGATGATGCTGCTGTGGTCCAAAAAAAAAAGAAAGCAGAAAAACGAACCTAAAACTCAAATAGGTTGGACCTTGAGCCTAAATATGACCCGAGGCTCCTTTTCTGGATCTTGGGTCTACGTTCCAACTTTCCAACATTCCAACATTCCATCATTCAGCATTGTAAAATTGCATAATTCTATTGTCTGCTGTTCTATAATTCTGTATTCAGTTCTAGCACTAAATAGTGCAGACCTTTTTCTACTTTTTCTGAGCTCACTGCAACCCACTCCCCCCCTCTTGTTGGGTGTTTCTTGCAAACACGTGCCCTCGTTTATTTCACACATTGAAAGATTAATGACCTGATTAACTGCACAGTTCAGGAAATGCGAGCGGTCGAGTGCAGGATTTCAAGTGTGTGCCAGGTACAAGTCTACTATGTAAAGTGCTGATCTAGGATCAGTATGCAACCCAAAGAGGGAGTCACAAAAATTTCTTCGTGTGATTGTGTCTGTTTTAAACCTTCATAATGCCAGTTTTAAAGAGGGATCACAGTATAAATCCTGATGTAAAGTTTGTCATTTTGATAACAGTGTATGATGACAGTAAAAGTAAATAGCCTATTTCTGTAGTCTACGTACATATGCCAGGACAATGCCTGTGTACATAGTTAGCATCTGAACAGTAAACAGTATTAGTGCTGGTTATTGATTGGTGTTAAAACAAAATACAGTTCTGTAAAGAGTTTCTAAATAAAGTCCATCAATGTAATACTTGTAGTAAAATGATTTCTTTGTGTACTAGTGCCTTTTAAACGTTGTCACTAGACTTTAACCGAAGTGTGATAATATCGAAAACATCCTGTTCTTGGTCACTGATATCAGTAGATAATTGTCATGTAGTCTCATCTTAATTTTTGTATCTGAAATTGTCTTAGCTCAAGCATGATTAACACTTATGTAAGCAATTGATATTTGATCCTTTTTTTCCAAATCACCTAAAGATAGCTGATGTTTGGCAGTTACCGAGTGCTGGTTGTTAAGCTCAAGAGCGGAAAGTTGCAAACGGAGCTTTGGCTCAATTCAATAAGTTTAGATACACAATCACAATGTTTAATGTTCAGGTGACAGCATATGTAGTTTGGATTCAAAGCTTTATTTGAAGACTTCTGAGCGCACAGCACAGAGTGATTGTTTCAGTTTTTAGTTCTTACACACGTGAAGCCCAGCACTAGCTGCTCACTGCTGTATTTTCTTTGTTTCTGTTTATGCTTGGTGTTTTAGTTTTCTCAGTCTGATATACAGTGACCGCTTCACTTATAGATGGTGCAGCCTCAGAATTTCTCCTTTTGAAAGACCCTGATTTGAACCATTTATCTATGATGACTGAATTCTGTACGATTGTAAAGAAGACATTTTACATTAGCTTGGACTTTGAACTAGCCAGCGTTTTCCCAGAACAATCAATGAGCTTGACCTGCTCCTGATGTTGTTTTATTTTTATTCTTTTCTTTTTCAACTAATTATTACAGCAATATTTATCACATTTAAAATTGCGTTTGGTTACATGTCTATATATTAAAAAAATAAACCTAATGGCCAACACCACAGTGGGGGGCTTTGGCCCACAGGTTGAAAACCAACGCCATAGATCACTGCTTTGATTTTTTTTTGCGATAACACAAAACCTTGAGTGTTCTTTTTGCTTTTATACAAGAGTTCTGAAAATAAAGGACAATGTAAAGCACGTTGTGTCAAATGTGCTTCCTCCAAGAGTAAGTATTAACCTTTTGCGCTACGAGTAGAGCCTTAACATTTGCTTTATGGGGTTCAGCTTTGCATTTTCAATATTTGCCAGATTAACCTGAACGTCCTGAA